TCTTGTGTCACCCGGTATAATAAGCGATCTATTCTTCGAACACCTGACCAGAAAGATGTTTACCTACAATCTCTATTTACTACTACTGTGAAAATGGTTGCCATATGTCTTTTAGAAAGTGTTTCTTTTATTTATTTGAATATTATTTTAATATTAAGAACAAAGAAGGGTTATGTTCGACGTACGTATTTTTGGAAAACTCACCAAAACTATTCTTTTTAGATAACTTCTTGCCGACGTTTCGCCAATCATCCTGTTGGCTTCTTCATTGTGTTTACAGAAAATCTACGGAGACCGATACCTTAATGCATGGTCACATCACCCTCCGGCCCAAAAATCATCGGTTATCAACTCTCTTGTTTACAGAGCCTTAAAACTATCTCAGCCCGAGTCACTGCTCTTCTCTCTAATAATTTCCACATGAAAGATATTAAATGTTCCATCAAAAAATACACTTCACCACAACCTTCCAATAGCAATGAGGCCGAAAGCAATCCTTCACTTGCCACTGTGGTCCTTCCTTACATTCAAAACATCACTGAACACATATCAAAAGTTCTAAAGAAGTATAACGTCAAAACCAGATTTACCACTTGTCCAAAAATCGCTCAACATCTGCGGTCCGTTAAAGACAAAATTCCATTTGAGACGCCAGAAGCTTGCAGCATTCCATGCATATGCGGAAAAGAATACATTGGCGAGACCGGACGAAAAATATCAACTAGGCTCAAAGAACACGAAAGAGCCTTACGACTAAGTCAAATAAAATCATCAGCTGTTGCCGAACACACTCATGAAACCGGGCATAAAATTTTATTTGATAAAACTAAAATTCTTGCATGTAATCAGCTCTTCGACCAACGAAAAATTCGAGAGTCTATAGAAATCTATGAACAACCTAACAATTTTAACCGCGACTCAAACAATATATGAGCAGGTACAGAGTAAAATACGAGACAGTTTCAGTCAAACTCTGAAGAAGCCAACAGGATGATTGGCGAAACGTCAGCAATTTCGACTAAACAAAAATCGACGCAGGAGGAATCCAGAAGTTTTGCAAAAAACATTACAGTAGCATGTGGAAGTTTCTTTGAAAAAAAAATTAACCAAAACTAACCAAAATCGGAAAGCAATTGAATTAATGTAATCTCCTATTAAGTGTCTTTGTTTCATACCTTAATATTCGTTGTGGCTGCAAGTTTATTGTAAAATGTTTGCCCATGTCTTAAGAATGGAATTTTTTTTTTCATTTTAATTGTATGATATTAGTATAAAGTTTTGATACTATGGGTTAGTTCAAGCTAAAGTGTCTTAATTAAAAGCTATAGCGAAGAATATGGATGGTGAAACTTACTGAATATGTAAATTGCAAATAAATTTTATTACGTCTTGAAATGTGAAAATAAACTAAAAAGGTTTTGTATTCTGCTCTTTTGTAATGTTTTCAATATGTTAACAATCAATCCTTAAAACTTATGTATTAAAAAATTGACGCAAGAGCCAAAAAAAGAAAAAATAAAAAAAATACATTTCAGTTAATTTTCAACGGGTTTTTACGTGAATAAACATAAGTCTGCTTTACTTTATGTTTTCATAATATCAAATAGTAATATTAAATTTAATAGATTAACGAGAAACGAAGCACGAAAACTGAATTTTAATCATCTTTCCGGTCGGCTTTACTTCCTTCCATTCATCAATTTAATTTCAATTGCCCCACGATCCTTAATTAAAACAAACTCGCGTTCCGTCGCAAAACTAAAAATAACAATAATTACGAGTGAGACGGAGCCTCGTTAGGTCAAAGAGGCGGGACCGAATTAAAACAAATTCTCAGTCCGACCCAAACTAAACAATAATTCCACCCCAATTATCTTCTCATTATTCGTTTTCTGGTTAGGGTGTCGCCCGTGGAAAATAATGGCAGGAAACGGCCCCGAGTTCTTATTAACTTGCTATTGGCCCAGGTTATAGTCCGGCCTTAGGCCCCATTACGTTATTACGACGGCGTTATTTGCGAAGCGTGAAAAGGAAATTGGTGAAGAAAGGTGCATTTTCGAAGTTTTACGGCGGTCGCTCTATCGAAACGTACGCGTCGGTTTTAACTAGAATTTAATGATCCGAAGGAGTCGAAAAAATATTTCTCTAATTGATTCCGTTGCAACCTTTCGTTTACAACGATCGGAAAGAAAACAGCGGGCAGAGTTGAGGCCGTGACTTTGTTGTTTGCCGAGTCATCGCCATTACGACACGGGCAGACTTGTTAGATTCCGACGTAATTGCGTTTCTGCGCGGTGTCGCGCCCCTCCCTTTACGACGACTAACAACATAGTCCGGATCTGGACTGATAGCCCGGTCTATTTGGAGGTAAAGTCGTTTCCTTATCTATATCGTGGAAATTAATATCCAACTCTTGGACTCCCTGGACTTGACATGAGTGTAAAACTTAAACATAAATTTTAGAGAAAGCAACAACAACATATCTTTTGCGTTCATTTATTTTTTTTAATAATAAACGAGTGATTTATTTATTATCCTATTACTATGGCTTAGCTACCGGATACATTTTTGCAAAACAACAGGAGTGGATTTACGTTTGGGGATGAAACTAGAACCAGTAAAATAACCACAATTTTTGGGCCACAGGATAGGAGGAAGGTTTTGTTATAGCTCTTACTAGCTAGTTATTTACTTACCTAGCTTAAGGTGGTTGTTAAACACTTATTAAGATGCTTTTATTAAGGGTAGTCTATGAAAGCAGGAAGACGGTATACTTTGCTGGAAATTTTAATTAATTTGTATACATTATGATTGTGAATCAGTGCGTTTATTATTTTTGGCCCTTTTCCCTTGCATAGAGATTTTTATGAAATTCCGTCGAAACTCTGTTAAAAACCTAATGCTTCTGTACAATTGTGATGGACCCTGTAATGAAATTATCATAATCATATCCAACATAGATCATACACAACGAGTGTTTTAGATCTTGCTAATCTAAAATACCGAATAATTCTGCACTGATCGTGTCACTTTAAAACTACAGCTTCATGAAACGCTGGCACAGGCCGCTTCCAAAGTTTCCGACACTTTAGTGACCAGATAGAATGTTTTCAGTAGATTTGAAATACTAATGATACTTTGACGTTTGTTAGTTCTGATGGTAACGTCACAGGCTCAAATTCACGCAAACAATCGTTTATTAAACACTCGCTCCACTAAGCTTATCTGTCGTATCAAACCAAACTCGTGACTAAAATGACGTTGATCGCACTTATTGCATAATAAACTATTAAAAAAGTAAATAAGCAGAGATAAAGATAAGGTATTGCTTAATTTTTTACAGAAATCGTAAGAGACATGTATGAGTAGATGCTGCCAAAAGTTATCTAGAATTATCTAGAACGCTCACTATAACAGAATGTTTCTACAATATAGGTTGTCGTCCATTATTCCTTCAATTCCTCAAGATAGCAGATAGAATCATTCTGTATTCAAGGAATTGTGTTTGACACTCCTTGTTAATGTCGACATTTTAAGTGATCCTGGTCGAAACCGACCTATCTAAAGTCGCTGCCTGCGAAGATGTGCCCGATTTAGTCCGAGATAGTACAAGGTGTTATTAGAGGCACTAAGCAGGTGCCGAAAGAGGCAGGCATCGTGTCTGCTTATTACGGGAGAGGCTCATTATGTTGTTTGCGGCCGGTTAAGGCCACGACCAGGCTGCGTTCTTTTATACGGCTCCGTGGCCAGGCGGAGAAGAACCCAATCGCCAGCACCAATTTTATTTTTCAACTTGTGTACGGGTACTGATTTAATACGAGCGTGATGATTGTTTGATAAAGTAACAAAGTTATCATTAAAGAGTCCGTCGAGGTGAAAGTGCGGGTTAGTACTTGGGATAATGATTCTGAGGAATTTTCGCTAACGCTGTTCACAATATGATCTGATTGAATTATTTAATGATCGCTTGTCAGGATGATGGACGTACAAAGATGCTTTGTATGGCACGGATTGTGATATACGCGGAACACGCCTTTCTAATTTAGGTACATATTATAGAATTAAGATTATATTTTATTAAATAGGTATATGGCTGTAAAAAATGTATTAACGAAGCGCAAGTGTAAGTTCCAAATCGATTTACTCCGGGGAGAAGCTTTCGGATCCTACAGTATACGTGAGACAAGAAAGTTTACGCTCCATCAGCTCTTTGTTTTGGTCCGATTAAAGAGTTTTTTCCGTCCTTTCGTGGAATATCAATTTCAGTTTTTTCAAACTGCTTTTATGACAGTTAAATAATGCAAAGTTCTCTAGTTCACTCGCCTCTTTAATCACTATATGAAAGAAACTGACTTACTTCGTGTGAAATAAATATTGCCCACCTAAAATACAGTTTTAAATAAAGCACTGAGTGCAGGATTAGTAGAACTACATTCTAAATTATTGATGGAACTTTCCTTTTCATTTCACAGTTCAAATGAATTTTACAAAACTCTATTAATTTTTTTTCTCAAATTTTAATTAAGCAACGGTTTTTGGTTCCACAAGTGTTTTAGCTTATGAGAGATGGATCATAATGTTTTAGATATTCTAAAATGTTTTATTAATTTGATCCCATATATACTTAGATAGATATTTAATATCAAGCTGTAACCATTAATTTATAACTTAGTAAATAATGGTTTCAGTTATTATTATATTACTATAACTATCATATTACTGTCATATTACTCTTACTATTTTTATATAACGCCTCCTATTCCGACTACCTATCAAAAAGCATTTTTATTTGCTGCTTTTATTTTACGAATTTTTAGATACTCGTATACGTCTACTAACAAAAACTAATATAGGTAAGAAGTTGAGTTAACGAAGATTGTTTAAATAATATCTGCTTCAAGAATAATTTTTTTTTTGTGTTAAAGGTGCAAAAAGATTTTTGGGCGCAATGGCTACTCATTGTAAAGCAAAGTTTATGAGACAAGAAAAATATATTGGACGTAGCAACTGGAGACTACTCCTTTATTTTTGTTTGAATCCATTATTTATTTATAATTTGCTTTTTTACTCCTACTTTCTTTCAGGTAGCGGTATTGATCGAGATTGAAGACCTGCTTTTGATATTTTTTGAGTGATGTATTTGTTGAGTGATAAGACTATATTTATAGGCCTTTATCAATAATTTTATTCTATATTTAATCTCCTTATGTAACTTATTTAATGTAACCACAGAAAATCGGGACGTTTATAAAACTTGGGGAACCAAATTAGCTATAACATTAAGTGAGACTCTGAAGTACAATTTTTAACATATTCATTTCTTTTTTTCTGTTTCCAGCATTTTTTCTTATATTCGAGAAGTTTTCTTTAAAATTTACGTTGCTCGGTTACTCTGGGGCTACAATCCGAGCGAGAAAATCTCAAGTACCTTCCCCGGATTTGGAACGTAAGTTTTCTATATATGTATAGCGGAACAGCAGCAAGGGCGTTCAATAACGTCGAGTTTTGTCGAACGGTTGGTTTTCGATTTGTTCGGGGGCCTACTCCAATTTCAGAGCCGAAAACTCTCACGAAATGATCCAGCGTTCGGTAAAAATAGACGGTCTATTAACGTAACATTTAAAAAGATACCCTGCCGCAGAGCATGGCAAGTTTCTATGCGGTCTTTCGGTTGCTTTTTTTTGCAAAACCAGCAAAGTGTAACTCGAATTTTACTTCGATATTTCAGGTCGCCGGTGTTACTGTATTTTCCGGGACAAAAAGTATATATGGCGCAGAATTTCACTTATTCTGCAATATGAGTTTCCTTCTGACACATAGGAACAAGTTGTAAATTAGTACTCCAGTTCATGAGACCAAAGACAATTTGGTTCTTTAAATAAAAATCTGGGTGAGTCATAACTTTTGTTTTTTAAAAAGCAGAAATTCCAAAAACCCAATGTGATGTATATTTTATAACTGAGTCACAAGTAGAAGTCGACAGATAGATTATCTACACATTTCATAATCAAATGAATTTCAGGAATCCTTGCTATGGTATCTAGTGCACACACTAACCAAAACTAACGAAAGCTGTTGTTATATAAATAATAACAATCAATAATCCTCAAAAAATCTTTTAGAATTTTCTTTTGTTATAGGCTACTATTATTTTTTCTTGCCCTAAAAATTATTTCAACTTAGCTGTGTTGAATTATTGGGACTCTCTTAACATATGACTAATTCTTTACTAGCAACCCTGTATGTATTTTTAATTAGATTTGATTTGAGAGAATTTTTGATTGTATAATAGTTATGGCATTATTCGATTTAGCGCCTGAGGTGGGCAATATTTTTAAGTTTTTGCTTTAAACTGTTGTCTCGTCAAACAGCAATACTTGCCCCATTACCTGAAAGATATTATAGCCTCATAGCTAGCATAACTTCGCTGAGGCTTGTTCTACTACTTTCACAGGTGGTAGATATCTTCTACCTTCCTTCCTTCCTTCTAATCTAACTTAAATTTTGACAATACTTTATACAGGGTGCCCCGAAATTAGACGTCAATATTTTAATCACGTATTCTGTGACTTAAAATAAGGATAGTAGTTTATATAAACTAGGGTCCAAAACGTCTTAGTTTCTAACATACAGGGTGTTAAATTTGAATAGGTGATGGCTATTTTTGTAAATATTTTCGAAACACGTAAATATTTTTAAATAAAATTTTGTACAGTTACTAAACTGTTTAGGCTCAATTAAATGAACTAAAACTTGGTATTGGATTGTCTTCAGGGACGGGTAACACGGGAGGCGTGGGAAAAATTTGACCTAAGCACCAGCTCATTACGGTGTTAATGTTAGAAACTGGCTGAACGAGCGAATCCGGGATGGATGGATTGGAAGAGGTGGTCCTATTCCGTGGCCACCCCCTTCCCTGGATTTCAATCCATTGGATTACATTTTTGGGGTCGTATAAGAGATATAGCATATATGCAACAGAAGTCGACAGCGAGGAGGTGTTGCGCAAAAGAATACCTTTGGCAGGAAATCAAATTCGACAAAATAATTTCGAAATTTCACGTCCCTCACATGCAATTAGCCGTATGCCTTCGTGAGCAAGGAAATCTTTTTGAGCACCTTCTTTAAAATGTCAAGTTTATAATTTTTATTACAATAATTAGCTTTACAGTTGATAGTTTGGTTTGACTTTTGTTAATAAAATTATTAATAAGAACAATCCAAGTAGAAACTGTTTTTTACCAACAATGAACAAAATTGAAAGCTGTCGAATAATAGACATTTAATTTTTATTTACCCAGCAACACAAACAAATGAAACGCGTCATTAACTTCCAAGGCTTGCTAATGATTATCTGAACCTCGATTGTAAACATTAAAATTAAAAAAAATATTTGTAATTAAAATTTCAAAAGCATTTTTCTCGAAAACGGTGTGTTCTAACGAGTTGCAACAACGGTAAAGTGTGTTCATAGATATAAGAAAGACCTGGGCAAGCTGTAAGAATGAAATATGGCCGAACAGGTCGGTACTTGGCTTAGAATTTAATTACTTGGGGTTTCGTTAGCAAAGATACTAAACAATATTTATTTATTTATGTATGTATTTATGTTTAAATCTAAAATAAAATTACAAATTATTTTTATTACCCACTTAAATTCCTTAAAATTATTGACAAAATATATCAGTATCACTATCGCTATCATCGCTTGTTCTAATTATGATTTTCAATATAGATATACGTTGTTCTGCTTTTTCTATATGTTTAACAGCATTTGCCCAACGTTGTGGAGGGATGTTAAAAACTTCGGTTTCTATAAGTTTGAGAACATTGGAGTTAACACGGGGAAAAACATTGTTACGACGAATGGCAGATTTCAGTTGGTTCCAAACATGTTCAATGGGATTAAATATACAGTGGTAAGGTGGATGCCTTAAAACTGTATGCCCTAGATTTTTTGCATAATTATCACAGACGTATTCCTTTTGTAGGTTCAAGCATTGTAGAACCTCAATTAATTGCTTTTTGGTAAAATCTTCGTGAAAATAAATGTCGTTATTATACATGTAGTTTTGAATTGTTGCTTTTGTGTCACATGAGGAAGGGGTTTTAGTCAACTGTCTACTATGATAACTTGCATTGTCCATTACAATTACGCTATTAGAAGGAATGTGTGCAACTAGTTTGTTTTTAAATCACTTTCAAATAAATCAGCGGTGGTGTCTTCATGGTAATCCAGAGAAGAATCTTTAATATTTTTCGCAGACAGAGAAAGTCCATTTGGAATCCAACCATCTTTAGAGCCAGCATGCAAAATAGTTATTCTTTTACTTCTTTTTGATGACGCGTTTGTTTTACACCAGTTGAGTCAACCCAACCCTTTTCCGGGGTACCATAAGTGTCGAAGCAAGTTTCATCCAAGTAAATAATTGGCCTTTGTTGTTCTCTGTAAGTCCTAATTTTTTCTAGATATTCCAGTCGCCATTTCCGAAATCTAAAAGATTCCATTAAAACTTGCATTTTGTCATTTTTTTAAAATCTAAAATCCATGTGTTGAATACACTTCCATAAGGTAGTGCTGCCACATTTAATACCGGTTTCATCTTTTTCAAACCTTCTAATTAAGATATCTAATGTAGGCACGCTTTGTTCCTCGTATAACTGGTAAATTTTACGCAGTATTATATCTTGATCACTTTCATCTACACTCGAGAAAATGTCAGTATCGCTTCTTTTTTTCCTCGCTGAAATGGGATTATTCACAATTTTCCATTTAGTTGATGTTGTTGGAATGAGAGTCAAATAAACATTATTTATAACGTCCTTAGTCTCAATAGAATAGTGTTTTCTACATTTGGGCGGAAGCATCTGCTGAGATAACGCTAGGCTCGCACATATTTTGCATAATTCGCACACGATTCAACACATGCTGTATTACACACGAAATAAGAATGATTACTAAAAAACTTAAACTAAGTACTAAGTACACCAAACCAAAGAATATTAAACACAGCTAGGTATAAAATTGTTTTCTATTACGGTCCACAATTTTACCTGAATTTAAATTCCGAAACTTAAGGTAATAATCTTGTGAATGTGCAGGGCATGTACCAGGCTGGGAAGGCGGCAAATATAGTGAAAGAGGTGAAACGGCTACAAATCGACATACTGGGGTGCAGTGAGACACGATGCCCGGACTCGGGACACTGCACTATAGACGAACACCATATATATTTCTCCGGAGACCATACTACCAGAAATAGAAACGGAGTAGCAATAATCCTGAACAAGCAAACCAACGAAGCTGTAAAAGGATTTATCCCCCTCTCGAGCAGAGTTGCACTGATAAAAATCAAATCAAAACCATTCGATTTGAATATCATACAGTCATACGCACCTACGACCGAGAGCAGTGAACAAGAGATGGAAGAATTCTACGAACAGCTTAGAACTGCCCTCAAACATACGAGGAGAGAAGAAGTTAATATGATGTTGGGAGACATGAACGCCAAGGTTGGGCAAGGAAGGGTTGAGGATGTGGTAGGCGAATTCGGGCTGGGGGTGAGAAATGAGAGGGGAGAACGCTTAATAGAATTCTGCGAGGAAATGAACTTTACTATTATGAACACCTTTTTCAAACTGCCCTCGAGAAGACTGTACACCTGGAAATCCCCAGCTGATAGCAGCCACAGAATCATAAGAAACCAAATTGATTTTATAATGATAAACCGAAGATATCGCAACGCAGTTGTATCCTGTAAAACCTACCCAGGCGCAGACATACCGTCAAATCACAATCTGTTGTTGGCACGCACTAAACTCCGATTAAAGAAAATCGTCAAAAAAAAGCACTCAAGACGCATTAACGTACGGAAACTCCAACAAGAAAACATACTACAGCGAACCAGAGATAAAATTAACAACGAACTAGCCAATATCTCACAAACAAGCAATCACGGAACAGAAATAGAAGACCTTTGGAATAGAATAAAAACATCCATAGTCTCCGTCACGGAAGAAGAGCTGAGGCAGGATAAACAGGCGAAGAGACAGGAATGGATGACGGATGCTATACTGGAACTTATGGAAGAAAGGAGACAGGGACAGGAGAAACAGGGATACGGAAAAATACCGAGAAGTGCATCGGAGAGTTCTGAGAAAGATCAAAGAGACCAAGGAACAGTGGCTGATAGAAAAATGTGCTGAAATTGAGATACTGCAGGCACGATAGTTTTAACCTCCACAAGAAAATAAAAGAAGCAGCAGGACGATTCCAAAGACGGAATACAGGAGTTCTCCTCGACTCAGACAACAACACCATCACCGAAGTCGACAAAAAACTAGCAAGATGGAAAGAATATATGCAGAAACTCTTTGGAGAGGAAAACGTAGACAATGTGGCTGCAACGGTTAACACTGAAGGACCTACCATCACACAAGAAGAAGTGGAAGCAGCTATCAAAAGGTTAAAAAACAACAAAAGCCCTGGACCAGATCAAATACATGGAGAAGTCCTGAAGCTACTGGACTCCGAACAAATAAAACTGATAACCACCCTTTTTAACAAAATCTATCAGTTTGGCTTCAGGAGAGGACTTGGCACTAGAGAAGCCTTGTTCGCCATACAAGTTCTGATCCATCGAGCACGGGACGTCAATACAGACGTTTTTACTTGTTTCATAGACTTCGAGAGGGCTTTCGGCACGATAAGCTCATCGCAATGCTACGAGAATCAGGAATGGACAACAGTGACACGGAGATCCTAGCAAAACTATACTTACAACAAAAGGCTATGGTTCGAGTAGAAAACACAACGTCAGCAGAATTTAGCGTTGGATGGGGAGTGCGCCAGGGCTGCATACTGTCGCCTCTCCTGTTTAACGTGTATTCAGAACATCTATTCAAGGAAGCATTGGATGATACAGAGGACGGACTTGTAGTAAATGGTCAAATTATAAACAACTTGAGATATGCGGATGATACCATTCTTGTGGCCGACACTGCCGAGGGGCTTCAGAGACTTGTGGACCGAGTGGCGACTGCATGCGAAGGATACGGTATGAAGATAAACTGTAAAAAAACACAAATATTAATTATCAGTAAAAACGATATTGGAAACCTACAGTTTACTGCAAACAACGAAGCCATCGAAACAGCAGAGACAGTTACATACCTGGGCTGTACTTTGAACAAAGATTGGGACCACTCTCGAGAAATAAAGTGCCGAATCGAAAAAGCAAGAAGCACATTTAACAAAATGAGAAACATACTCTGTTACCTATCCCTCAGCGTCCGCACTAGAATAAGGGTCCTGAACTGTTATGTTCTCTCGGTCCTCCTTTATGGGACAGAAGCATGGACCCTTACCGATGCCTCGTGCAAACGTATAGATGCCTTCGAGATGTGGTGCTACCGCCGCATCCTCAGAATTTCGTGGGTACATCATGTGACAAATAAAACGGTCATTGAGCGCATCGGAGGAGAAATGGAATTCCTAGCAAACATCAAACGCAGAAAACTGGAATACTTTGGACACATTATGCGCAATGAGAAATACCACCTACTCCAACTCATCTTACAGGTGAAAATAGAGGGTCGACGATCGGCAGGACGCAGACGAATATCGTGGCTGCGGAACCTACGTGCACGGACTGGAATGACATCAACAGCCCTATTCAGATCCGCAGTAAACAAAGTAATATGGACCAACGTGATAGCCAACGTCCACAGAGGAGGAAGATTGTATGTTAATGACCACCCTTGGATAATCCCATTCAAAGGCAATTGGTCACTTTCTTATATCTATGAACGGACCATACCTTACTTACATAGAAAACTTCAGATTTTCAAATTCTCCAGTCCAAATTATGAAAATTCGACAAAAAAAACTTTTCGCCAAATTTTTCCCACGCCTCCCCCGTGTTAGCAACCCCTGAAGACAAAATATTTACGTGTTTCGAAAATATTTACAAAAAATCGCCATCACCTCTTCAAATTTAACACCCTGTATGTTAAAAACTGAGACATTTTGGACCCTAGTTTATATTAACTTTATTTTGGGTAACAGAATACGTGGTTAAAATATTGAAGTCTAATTCCGGAACACCCTGCATAAACTTATTTCCGTTTTTAAGACATTAAATATATGAACTTGGAAAAATGTTTCATAAATATTTCTTTTGATTCTATATGTAGGGAGTATGTTATCATTTATATTTCGCCTCGTAATTAAATATGTTTTGTTCATGATAGTGTTGGCCCTATTCTTAATTGTTTTTGAAATATTGACACTTACTGATTTTTCTACAT